ACGCAGCAGCAGCCGCTTATTGAACACGTCCAGGTAGCTCCGCCAGGCCTCGATAGTATAGCCAGCCAGAGGGTGCTTCGCCTGTTCATTTAGCCGCAGCTTCGAGTGCGCGCGCAACGGCTTCGTCTCCGTAGCGCGCCGTGAGCGACCCAACCATAGTCACGCCACTGTCTGGGAACTTCTTGTTGTACACGGCAATGTACTTCTGTAAGTTTTAAACGTCGGGTTCTCCAGGATGTTGCCCACTCCGGTGTTGAGCTTCCTTTCAGTAAAGTACTGACCATGCTGTTTAGGAAATGGAAGTACAAGGACGAGTTGAAACCGGAGAATGTGGCCACTATTTTTCACGTGGACAACTGTAGGATACCACAACAACAACTTGAAGATTATCGTACATTACGCGGACTACTTCAAAGACAGCTAGACCGATGCTTTCATACGACTTGGTTGGTCGAGAGGACTGACACTCTAATAAACGGCGTTGATCCATTTGTTTCTCTTGTTGTAAGACCTTGTTGCTCAAGCTGCAGGTCCTGTGGACTGTTCTGGGTGTGCCTGGAGCACTCGCCGCCAAGCTCGTATTTGGGCCGGGTCGTAGCTATACACTTCAGCCGTCTGGCACAAGACACAAACGTTTAGCCAGGACTCCCTCAATCTCCCAATCAGTAAAGCGACCACGTCGGCGTACCTTGACAGCCCTCTTCCGGAGGCCACGTCGCGATCACACTCCGACGCAATTAGATGCCCAGCCGCTCACGACAAGTCGCGGGCGGTAGAGCTGGAGCGTTCTCCGCTGCTATCGCAAACTTTCTCCGGAGCGCCACATTCAATCCTTGCCGACGCCGCCCGATGATGCAGCCCGGTCTCCTGCAATCCGCCCCATTTGCTCCGCTGCGCTCCTTGCGCTCCTTGCGCCCCTCGCGCTCCGTTTCGAAACTATTCTTATCGGCCAGCCATATACGCTATACGCTGGTCGGATGCAAAACGGCAATTAGGGCTAGCTAGGTGAAGGTGTACAGACCGAAACCAGGTGTTCCCAGTCTGGAGCAGCAACAACTCTCAGCGAGGACTGCCGCGTCCAACGAATCGTTATCGAGGTGTACAGACAATTCACTCGGGGAACAAAATCACTCACGGCCGGTAATACCGCGGGCGATATCTCCCGTGACTCACGGGAGATATCGCCCGCGGTTATTGTGGTTTTCAACAATTTTGCCGCCCGATTTGACGTGTTATCTCGGAGTCCGATTTATATAAAATGGAGCTTCTACATGATCGGTTAGTAGCATAAGGCTCAGAGGGAAGGCATTTCAAGTTGGCCATACCTCCCCACCTCTCATGACGCATTAGAACTGCAATACGTTGGGGACAATAGTGCACTGTATATAGCCACTTCATAGCACTATGGCCAGCTAAATTACCTGTGTGATCATCTACGGCCGCTGCAACTTCGTGCCCCGCCGATCTGAGAGGCCCCAGACATGCTTTCGCGGCGGTCCCTTTTGCCGGCGAAAAGCGGCATTTCTGGCCCCTACTTCGCAACTCGACGCAAATCGGGTCAGATATAGTTTGCTTCCCTCAACCCTTCCTACTAAATGTGAGCCCTCCAGCAAATCGGGCCCGATATATCGGATCTTGGACCACCCGATTTGCCAAAACGGATGAAAGCCACAATGCATGTACTATATCACTAGATAAGCTGTCACTATTGTACTTTGCGCGCTCTTACGTTATATAAACTTCTTGATTGGAACTGCCAGGAACCTTGGCACGTGATTTTTTTTCGTTTTTGTTTTCAAACTCGCGGCTGGCATTCAACCACTTCATGGCGAAATCGCCGGACCTGAGCTCAACGCTAAACACGTCACCCACGTTACTTCGTCCCACTAAAAAGAAATCACCTTCTTCCCTTTCGCCTCCTGCTGCCATTCACTTCAAAACTTACGGCACGGAGGCAACACGTCAAAGACGATGAAGACGGAGGTTGAGGATTGGTGCGCGGAACTCAAACTCCACACGAGGCTTTCAGCTGCGAGTTGTCCCCATACTCGAACCAAGTGGACCCCAATTCCTCGACTCTTACTACGACCTCCACGACTGCTGCAGCACACTTCAATCCCGAGGAGCGGTTGGCTCTCACCAGTGCATGGATCGCCGCGGCTTTGACTCATGAGGCACAAGACTCGCAAGAATTCTGGACCAAGATTCAATCCGACTACGCCGACAACTTGCCATTGACTGGACGGCTTAAGACGGCTGAGGGGCTTCGGGTGCAGTGGGAGGAGATGCACCCACACTTGGTCGAGTTCCTAACGCTGTTCATGGAGAAGTGGAGCAAGTGCCAAATCAACCTCCGGTACGCGTTGTCGCGTCGGAAAGAGGCTTTCAAGTGTGCGAAGGCTGCGGTCCGTGCCAAGAACAAGAGGTTCGGGGACTGGGATTCGGCCTGGGAGCTCGTGAACCACGAGAAGTGGCAGAACGTTTTGAGCCCTCGGATCATACAGCACGCGGTTTCAGTCGAGAAAGTGAGTGCTCGACAGTCGCGAGCAAAATCGAGACGTGAGGACGCAGAAGGAGCTGAAGATCGGCGGGTGAAGCCACGACGGGACGTTGACGGTTCTCAACAACGAGCAAAACCATCCATGGCAGACGAAGTCGAACTCAAGAAAGTGGTGGCGCAGGGAATCCAACTGGAGCTGGACATCATGACGAGAAGCGAGGACGGACTTTCAGCCGAAGCGGTTGAGTAGCTCCACTTGAGGCGCCTCCAGATCCTCCAGAAGCTCCGAACGCAAGTTGGGCGGCAGCAGTGGCTGTGAGCACTGCGATGGTCTAGGCCAAGACGCTTGTTCGTGCCTGAGTGAGCAGCATCATGAATATCTAGGCTTCCGCAACACGTATTCGTTTCAGGCTGTTAGCGCAATGCATCGACCAACTAGACTTAGACTTCAAGTAGCGGTACTGGGACTGTTGCCTGAAGGGCATCGGCGCAGGGGTTTCAACAAGTGAGGAAGGAGAAAAACGGACAAATATTTTTATTTAGTTGATCACCATCGCAGGCGTGCAGTCTCGACGCCATTTTCGCTTTTCCAACGACTCGAAGTTTTCTATCGCCCAACAAGGCGAAGTAACCAAAGAAACAATGAAGTCGAAACCTGCGGAGCGGGGCGAGGACGGCAGCTTCATGCGGATCGAGGTCATTTCCATGCTGAAGCTGCTGCTCGTGTCGGGCATCGCAGTCACGTTCCTCGCTCTCTTCGTGCTCATCGGCTTCAGCGGTTCGCCAGCGGTGGCCAATTCCGACTGGACCAGCATCCCCACGCGCTGCACGTCCGACTTCTCCATCAGCTTGTACAACGAATGCCTCAACTCCACTAACAGCACGACGACCGTCGAGGACACGGACGCGAATGGAACAGTGTCCGCTATCGACGAGGTCCTGAGTCTGTCTACTAATGAGCAGCGGTCGGTGCTGAGCTGCATGTTCGACGCGTGCACGAACCGCACGAACCGGCCGTTCGCGAGCACCGAGCAGAGTCTGCACGTGGTCCACTACACGTTCGGCCTCAACGGGTTCACGCAGCTCAACCGCTACTTCTACCTGGAGGCCGCGTTCCCGAACCTGCAGAAGACCGCGCGGTCTTTCGACGTCACCATGACTCCACACGTCAAGGGCTTCTACCTCAACGAGACCAGCGGCAACCAGACGTACGCCGACATCATCACCAACGTCGTCCAGAAGACCGTCACGGTCGAGTGTGAGGAGGGCGAGGCGTACTGCGATGCCGCCTACTTCCTGCGCTTCGGAGACATCGACTTCAACGACTACCAGGTGGACGTGCTGTTGAACTCCACCGAGAACTTGGCCCTGAACGGCTCAAACGTCCAGTTCCGCAAGACTTGGGGCACGGAGGCGTTCACCAACTGGCTCATCGGCATGAAGCTCTTCTTCCTCTTCCTCTCGGCGATCTTCGCTGGCTGGTACATCTTCAGCGTCAACAAGCTGTCGTCACGCGAGCAGAACGTCGAGCAGGGCTTCGTCATGGCGCTGGTTCTGTCGCTGATTCTGTTCAACGACCCGTTCTACGCGGCCGAGGCGAGGTACGGCAGCAACGCGGCTCGCATCCTCAGCGTGGGCTTCCAGGTGACCTTCTTCCAGATGCTGCTGCTCTTCTGGCTGGTCTCGATCGACAACCTGCGCCTGCAAGGCAAGGAGAACGGTGTGTCCAATACTCGCTTCTTCGCGCCGAAGCTCCTCTTCGTGGCCTTCTTCTGGCTCATCATGACCATTTACTACGGCTACATCAAGTACAACCGCAACAACGACGTCACGTGGGACCCCCTGGCCGAGAACAGCAACTTCGCTCTGCTTAAGGTGTTGTGTGGGCTTCTCAGCGCTGCGTTTATCGTGTGGTACTGCATCTTGATCGTTATGAGCGTCAAGGAGATCCGAGCTCGCCGTATGCGCTACCGGTACTTGGTGGGGCTGAGTCTGTTGATGATCATCGCCTCGTTCTCGGGTCTGGCCAACGGAGCGTTCTCTCCGACCCCGTCCAGCGGAGGCGCGTGGACCTCGCTCCAAACCATTTTCAACGTCTACGTGTACACGCTGTGCTACTTGTACGCGCCGTCGGCCACGACGCTGGATAACTTGCGTAAGCGCCAGCAAGCTCACGGAGGGGAAGACCCGGAGGCCAAGTCAGTGCTAAGCAGCAAAGCGGTGGATCCTGCCGAAGTGGAGCTCGCCGGTGTCGACGAAGTTCGCGAGACGGACTTGGCTTAAGAAGTATCACGAAAGCTAGCGAAACATGCCTAAGCTAAGAAGAACAATGGTCAATTATGCAGATAAAGTCGTAGCACTATACACAACTTATCTTGGTCATTCAAACTGCACGCCGGAAATTTACTTTTGTACTTCGTTCACAACATCCACTTTGCTTTACTACTACACTAGGAGCATTTCTGTTTCATGACAACTCTTCCCTCGGACTGGGGATCACTCAGGCGAAAGTGCAGACCAGCACACTGAAAGCGAGCAGGAGAGCGAGCAGGAGAAAGAACCAACCCTTGTACAGCAGCACTAGCGCAGCCAGTGCCAGCAGCACTCCTGTGACCACGATCTTGAATACTTGCGCGTTCTCGAAGCGCTGCAGCTCCTCTCGCTCTTGCTTCACACGCGCCCGCTGCTTGAGCAGGTACTCTTTGCGTTCACGCTCGTTGAGGTCTTGCACCATTGAGTTCCGCTCCCAGTGGCTTCGAAGCAGACCGTACGATGCAGCACCGAACGCTGCGAGCGCCCCGAGGGCGATCAAGGAGTCGCTTTTCACTGGGTCATTGGCGAAGGACGACAACGACTTGGACATTGCGAGCTGGCCCAGCTTGTCGGGTCGGCCCATTGGCTGACCGCCGTCGAAGAGCTTCCCCTTGCTACCGAGTTGACGCATGCGGAGAGCTTGGCCGGGGTGTGTGGGAGACGCCTGGAGCTTGGCATTTGCCGGAATGCAGCCCTTGTTGATGCTTCGGTACGACTCGAAAGTTGACATTGTTGGGAACTGGTCAAATTGCACAATGAGGAAACCCCACCAGCTAACGACCCGCGGTGCGGTACAGTACGCTGTTTGAGGACGAAGACATGTTCGATTGACAAACTTTCCCTGGCGTTCTGAGCGACACCCAGTGGCTACAAATGTTGGAAGAATTTCCGGTTCGTATCTTGTCAGAGGACGAATGCATATGATGCGTGGATCTACGTTGCCATCCAACTCGATGATTAAAGCTTTGCGGTATGCAAGGGCTTGATGTAAACTTGTTTAATTTTTTTAAATTCCATTGGCGCTACATATCTGCGTACTCGTTACGAATTGCTCGAGCCTCACGGGTGGTGACGGCGTCGACAAAGCTTGCGAGTTCAGTTTCGTTGGCGGGAGGCAAATCGCTGCCGTAGAGAGCGAAAAGCTCGGCTGACGTGAACCCATTGAAGAACTCGGACGCCTTGTCGGCACACGCAGCGCAAAATGCCAACCGGTTGCTGCAAGCGGAGCAGCCCTGGAGAAGGTGCACGAACTCGGACTGAGTGGAGGCAAAATGACTCATAGCCGGAGAAGAAAGTTTCCTCATCAAGCGCTCCAACTCCCGTTTATCTATCGTCAACAACCAAGTAGAGGTCAATTAAGGGGTTAACCCTGCTAGGTATCGAGGACATGTACCTCGAATTAGGCTCTCGTTGGGCTTCTCCTGCTCCAGTAGTATAAGCTCGTCGTGGCCATCCAATAATGAAAGGGTTCGGTAGCGACGGCGCTTGGACTCACACAAAGCTTGAAGCTCTCGATCACAGCGGTCTTTTATTTGCAGAGCTCGATCCAGTTTGATCTTCGCTGGAGATATCGCATCTGTCATATACACAATGAGCTCGTGTGTGTCAATGGTTATCATTACTGAGAAACAAACCGTTCATGCTGTTGTCGTCCAGTTCGACTTTTTGCTGGTTTAAGCCTGATCCGAAAGGTAAAACCAAAGTTTGGATTGATAAGTGACTACACCATACCAGTGTATCCACAGATTTTGCACCTTCGCGAGCAACAAGACGGTTAAACTCGGACGAGGCTAGCGTGCGGCGACTGAGTGAGTCCCTGCAGCAAAATGAGGGGAAGTCAGTGGCTGATACGTTTCTGTATCAATTCAAAACATACCTTTTATGCCGATTAGGTTGGCTCGACGGGGTCAATGCGGACGCAGCCCGGCGCATCACCTTGCCTGAGCTTGCCGTGTCATCGCCAGGATCACGCATTTGCTTCGTCCTTCGTCAAAGTTTAACTAGGACAATGAGGAACGATCCGCAGAGGACTTGCACAGAACTCGAAGACAATTTCTATTTTTGATAGTTCATCATAGCATCCAGAGCTTCCTAGGTGGTGATTTATTATTCCTGAGCTATGTACTTGACCTTGGGCAATATGTAGCCGCAGTCGTCCCTGTTCCCGCGGTTCCCACGGCCATCGCTACTGCCATATCCGAACGCGCACGTGCAGGTTCCTTGTAGGTAATTGCAGTAGCCTCTGTTGGAGCAGACTGCGTTTTCCTTGGTACCCCGTTGACTTGCAACCCCACCGATAGCAACCCCGTTGTCCGCGGTGACGAAGCTCATGGCCCCACCAGTTGAGGTGAGATCTGTCGTGACAGCTCGCAGCGGTGGAATATCGCCGTGATCTACTGGGAATGTGATAGTGATGATATTGGCTGGGGATGCTGGAGCAGTGCAGGCTTGTGTACCGGTGGAGTACGTGACGACAGGACCTTCGAATCCGAATGAAGTCATGAGGATATCACGGAGCGCACTAGCTCCAGCATTGAAAGGGATATCGATCGATGTTGAGGAGCGATACTGAAGGCGGAAGACGCCACCCGTCGCCGTACACTTCAACACCTGGATCTCATCCACTTGGTCGGTTGTCACTGGATCATCGCCCCTAGGACAGGAGCCTGGTCGATCATGAATAGTGAGTGACTGGGTTTCATTCGAACAATGCAAACATGGTACTTACGTTTGCTGCAGTCGTAGCCCTCGTATCCTGGGTCGCACTTGCAGCCGAGAATATTGTCACGGTCAAATGTCTGGACATTATTTGGGTCGGCTCCGTAGTCGAAGCGAAGCGATGGGGAGTCCACGTCAGCTTCCAACGAAAGCCGTCGGATACTCATGCATTCTCCGTGGCCGCTACAAACTGGTTCACCAGGACATTTCACTACACAAGAGAAGGCAGATTATGAATTCCTTATCAACCGCGCTGCGTTGACTTGTGCTAGTACTCACTGAACTCGCACGCGGCTCCCTCAAATGGAGTGTAACAGGAACATTGGCCTGTAGTCTGGTCGCAAGCTCCAACATCGGAACACATTGTCCATTGGTTGTGCACGGTATTGCTCGCTGACGGAGCGGTAAACCAGGACGGACCGGTAGGACAAGTTCCTGTTGCGAATCAAAATTCAAATCCACAGCGTCAGCAATTGAAGAGCTCATAGCATGGTACGCTCTTGGCGCATACTTGCGGAACAGTCTCCGGTGGTCCATCCCTTCTCGCAAACGCATTTGAACGATGGCGAGCCCGTGCAGTAGCCGTGGCCGCTACAAGCGAGCTCCCCCACACAGGCCAAGATCGATCCTCCGTACATGTTCTTGTCGTTGGCACAGCCACAGTCGCCGCGCGCTCCTGGATTTCCATATCCGTCGCTGGACCGATAGCCCGGCATGGGGTTAAGGAAGCACACGCACTGACCGGTTTCTGGGGATTAACTTCAAAAGTTAGCAAGAACTCCTATGGGTACGTTAGCACATGCATTCCTCACCATAGTTGCAGTCGCCTCGATTGCTGCAGAACTCCCATTCCTTTGATCCTTGAACCGAAGTTCTGCCAGCCAAGATGCCGCCTGCAGATGTCGCGAACACGCTGCCTCCTGTGAGATAAGCGACGCCCTTCAGCGTCCCCATGACTTTAATCGGAGGTTGCCTAAAAACTCACAAACAAAGTGCAAAAATCGCGAGTATGAGGCGGAGGCTAACGCAACCTGTAGACGACAAGGGCGACTTCGTACGGCCCGAAATCGTAGATGAACTCGATTAAAATGGCGTTTGCCGTCGCACTGCTGCAAACCGTCTTCGCTGTCCCGCCGAATGTGACCTTCACTTGGGGAAAACCTGGGATTGTCGCGAGAATGCTCTGGAACTGGTCGAGCGCGGCATCATAGGGAACTTGTGCACCCTGCCCATTGAAGAAGAGGAAAAACGACCCTCCAGTCGCCGTACATTGCACAATCTGCACCTCATTCTTTTGACCCGTAGTCAGCGGGTCATCACCGCGAGGACAAGACCCTGGATAGCAGTCCAACAGTAATATTATTGTTACGCCAACAATTCAAACATCGCAGCTGTAGAGTTTGAACGTACGCAGCGAGCAGTCGTAGGCGTGGTAGCCCTTGCGGCACTTGCATCCGTAGATCATCTCGGCGTCCCATACACTATCATAGAGCGGCTCCGACCCTACTGCATACGTTGCCGACAGCTCTTTCAGCGACAAACACCGGCCTGCGCCGGCACAGGCATTGGGGCACTCCACTGCAATGATAGCATAACAAGCCATAAGTCTCTAGACACTACTCCACCGCGCTCTCCATTGACCCAGACACGTACGCCGCTGGCACGCGGAGCCCACAAAGCCTTCGTCGCAGGTGCAGGAGCCCTCTTCGTAGTCGCACACGCCCTTGTTCGAGCACTCGACGGGGTAGTGCGCATCGTCCGTCGCTCGCGCAGGAGCCACCCACGCCGGCCCCAGCGGACAGCGCTCTACCACATAACACACAGCAACTAGAGTAAGATAACATGGAACGAATCGCTCGAAGCAAGGCACGACGGACTCTGCGAGCAGTCGAAGCCGAAGTGGCGCGCGTCGCACTCGCACAAGTTGCGCGGGTTGCACGTCCCGTGGCCCGAACAGATCTTGTTGTTGTACACGCCACGTGCGCAGGCCGCGTCTGCCACATCGAAGAGCAGCACCAGCGCGCCAATAAGCACCGGGAGGCGCAGCATCACTGGCAATATTATAATAATGAGCCCGGACAACTTCAACGTAACAGGGAGTACTGTAACCGCCAAATGATGTGTCGCACACATTTGCGTCTACCACACCAACGCGTAATTACGCCTCGAGTCACGGCTTTTTACGCGCGTAAAAATCCGAGCCAAAAATCTTGTTGGCCACCACCACAAGACGCCAACGTCGTACGTGTATCGGGGGAATCCGCTGCTTGGCTTCCTGTCTCCTCCCTCTCCCCACCGTCCTACGTCGCTCCACATCCGCCCTATCCGCCACCATGTCGATGGTCTTTGACGAGTACGGCCGCCCCTTCATCATCCTGCGCGACCAGGAGCAGAAGCAGCGCATCAAGGGCGTGGAGGCCATCAAGGTGCGTTGTCAAAAACGGAATGAATGCTGTCAAAAATACCCGTGATTATAGCCCTCGTCAAAAACACGAACAAGATCTTAATATTTTTTGTCAAAAACTGGATTGTAGAGCAACATCCTGGCGGCGCGCACCGTGTCGAGCCTGCTGCGCACCTCGCTGGGCCCGCGCGGCATGGACAAGATGATGGTGAGCCAGGACGGCGACGTGACCATCTCGAACGACGGTGCCACCATCCTGGAGCAGATGCAGGTGGAGCACCGCGTGGCGCACCTGCTCGTGGAGCTCAGCAAGTCGCAGGACGACGAGATCGGCGACGGCACCACGGGCGTCGTCGTGCTGGCCGGCGCGCTGCTGGAGCAGGCCGAGAAGCTGCTGAGCAACGGCCTGCACCCGATGCGCATCGCTGACGGCTTCGAGGAGGCCTGCGAGATCGCCTGCAAGCACCTGGAGGCCATTGGTGACGTGATCCAGTTCTCGGAGGAGGACGCCACGCCCCTCGTGGAGACGGCCATGACCACGCTGTCGTCCAAGATCGTCAACAAGTACAAGCGCCAGATGGCGCAGATCGCCGTGGACGCCGTCATGAAGGTGGCCAACTTCGAGACGCGCGACGTCAACTTTGATCTCATCAAGATGGAAGGCAAGCCCGGCGGCACCCTGGGCGAGACGGCGCTCATCAACGGCATTGTCATCGACAAGGACTTCTCGCACCCGCAGATGCCCAAGGAGGTCAAGGACGCCAAGATGTGCATCTTGACGTGCCCCTTCGAGCCCCCCAAGCCCAAGACCAAGCACAAGTTGGACATTACCAGCGTCGAGGCCTACGAGAAGCTCTACAAGCAGGAGCAGGAGTACTTTACGACCATGATAAAGCAGGTGAAGGACAGCGGCGCCAACCTCGTCATTTGCCAGTGGGGATTCGACGACGAGGCCAACCACTTGCTGCTGCAGAACCAGCTGCCCGCTGTGCGCTGGGTCGGCGGCGTCGAGCTGGAGCTCATTGCTATTGCCACCGGTGGACGCATCGTCCCGCGCTTCTCGGAGCTTACGCCCGAGAAGCTGGGCCGTGCTGGCACTGTGCGTGAGGTGGCCTTCGGTACCACGAAGGAGCGCATGCTGGTGATTGAGGACTGCGCGAGCTCGGACGCCATCACGGTGCTGGTGCGCGGTGGTAACAAGATGATTGTAGAGGAGGCCAAGCGATCGCTGCACGACGCCATGTGCGTGACCCGCAACCTGATCAAGAACAACCGCATCGTGTACGGAGGTGGCGCCGCCGAGATTGCCTGCGGCATCGCTGTGCGGGAGCACGCCGACAACACGAAGGGCATCGAGCAGTACGCTATCCGTGCCTTTGCCGACGCTCTGGAGGACGTCCCGATGGCTCTGGCTGAGAACAGCGGTCTGAGCCCCATCGACTCGCTTTCCGCCGTGCGCGCACAGCAGATCGCCGAGAAAAACCCGCGACTTGGCATTGACTGCAACTCGTCCGGCACGAATGACATGAAGGAGCAGCAGGTGTTCGAGACGCTTATCGGCAAGCAGCAGCAGCTGCAGCTCGCCACGCAGGTGGTGCGGATGATCCTCAAGATCGATGATGTCATTATTGAAGGCTCGTACGCGTAGGCCGATGAGAGCCTATAAATCTACTGCTGCTGCACTGTAACCGGCGTCGCGAGGCACGCGTTGCGGCGGCAGCGGAACAAATGGAAGGTTTTAGTTTATAGTCAGCTATCCGCTCCGCCTTGTTGCTGCTTCGTGGTTTGTATGGTGCAAGTGCAAGCTCGTCTTTTTTTCTCTTGTGTCTTTTAGGATAAACTCTAGCCCTTTTCTCGGTTTTTGCAGAATCATGTGCAGTCTGCACAGTGCAGATATTCCTTGAGGCTCCGTCGTCATGATGTCCAGCTATACTCCTGTTCTTTTGGTCTTGCTGAGCTCACGCTCTTGTGGGTTAAAATGGCCCCTACAAACGCTGTCCGAAGAAATTTAACGAAGACACAGTAGTGACAGTTGTTTCGGAAATAATATTTTTCATAAGGGTTGTTTACAGGCTGAAAGCAATACAGCAACTACTAGAGGATCGGGCGGTGAGTGCGCTTTGTTTAGTAGTAGAAAGAAGAGTCGACAAGAAAGTCGAGCCAATGAATTGTGAATTATTAATAATAGCAACGGTTGTAAAGTTGAGAACGAATGGAAAGGGAGGGAGTCAGTAACTATGGCTACCGACTCCCTCAGCATGTCACCGCTGATGAACCCTTCAGAGCTCACAATGCCGCCCATCGCGGCGTCGTGTTGACAAGCGCTTCAAGAAGTTCCAAATCAACACAATTCAAGCGAACGTTTTGGGGAGCGATGAATACTCAAACTGAGCCGCAGCTGTGGACACAGCCACCCAGAAGACGCCTCACGGGCTGCTGAAGAGCTGATTCCATTCGGATTGACCACTCATTACGGAGACGAAACTCTGTCGGAGATGCTAATTAGGGCGAGGGCGTGCCCATGTTGTCGGACACTACTGGGAAATTGGGGGCAGCCCAACTGTCAAATTGGAATACAAACCAAGAGGCAACACCGCAAGGTGTAAGTCGAGTACAACCCTTAACGTTAAATAGACCCCTTGATGTGTTGACAAGCTGGACCTCGCTCGGAAATTTGCTGCTGTGGAAAAAGACGCTGGTTACAGTACTGCCACGAAGGCTTACGCCAGTTATTTGAGAATGCGCTGTTTAGAAATGGGAAGTTTTGTGCGCACTTGTCACCAGCGTAGGCTATGGGTATGCTAAACCTGCGCTCGTGGGACCTTGACAACATAAGGTTATCCTGGATTACCAAAAATCCTACAGAGGCAGTTAGACGGATGCCAAAGCAACCTGGTAACTCTTTAGTTGTGGGTCTGGTTAAAGATTTCGTAGTAAACTCCAGAGAACAGTAGTGAGTTCTTTTTTTAAACTTGAAAAAAGCTTTACACATTAGGCATTACATACCGCTCGGTAGGGCATAGAGCCACTAATATCGTGCGAAGAAGCTCTCTGAATCCTGTTTAATGTTTTTTTTTCCTAAAGAGAGTTTCGTTTAGCAAAAAGAACATTCCAAGAATGACTGTCTGAGTGATTTTCGGGGATGCATTGGAGGATCAGCCTGGAGGCGGTTCTCCTTGACGTACCTATTCCCCTGCACAAAACACGACAGATCTAACGTCACCATTTATTCATCAACTGCAGATCTAACGCGATCTCATAATAGGGGGAGTCGAACATCTCAAAAACGCCAAAAATAATGAGCAAAACCGAGCCAGAATTCTAAGCAGCAAAATGTCGAAAATATGAGCCATTTTCGAGGGGGGGGGGGGGAGTGATGTTGATCCCTTCGATTTTCGCACTTAATCGAGCGGAGGGAACTTTTCCGCCATCTGTCCCACTACAGATCCCGACCAGTTTCTTCAACAAATGATTGTGTGTAACTTTGTAGGGAATACTGATCATACGAGAGACATGCGATACGAAAGTCCATACTCAGAACAAGGTATTTTGATGTAGACCTTTCTAACAGCGTTGAATAGCTATAACGTATATCACAGGATAATGTATAATAGGATAATACTGGGATAGCAGTGGCCGATAGGTCATGCTGCTAGGCAGCCCAAATCGGGTTAATTCGCGCCTCGATAACTGAAGCCAGTAAACTGAGGCCGGTATCGTGGTCCTTTGTCACTGGCTGTCTTTCTCCTGGTGACCCGGTAACTGGAGCTGGTAACTGAGTCCGATCTCGAGTCACTTGACTTCAGCCATTCGCATTCTAAAGCAACCGGCACCTACGTACGTACCTATCCCCCTGCTTTTCCATTATCTCGCGAACTATTGCTCAGTACAGCCACAAGTTCCCTACACTAACATGGTCGCGCGTTTTTCGCCATAATTCGCCACTATCAGGTTCACTACGACGCTGAATTCGAGACGTGGTTTCGGCTGACTGTTGTAGATGACGTCGCAGGCCGTGTCTACCTCGGTCTCGCTGATAGGCGCCATGGGATTACAGCTATTGTGCAATTTCACATTCTACCAGTAAACCAAGCAGCCGGCGTACGTGCCTAGCCACCCCAAGTAGGACCCCTCGGTGGGGGACGCAGAAGGCCGCTTCAGACCTGGTGCTTTCTTGGTGCTGCCGTTGCTGCTGTTCACGTCGCCATTCGCCTTAGTCGGCTTGTTAAACGAGTGCCGCATTCTGTAATCCGGAGACACGTGCTTCTTGGGCGGGGACATGGGGGGCGGCGGGGGTGGAGGAGGGCTAATTGGAGCCTTCATCACTGTCGGAGGCAGCGGTGGGGTCGGAGCTCCGCACTAGGGCCCCGCAATGGCTAGAATAGGGGTCTTTTGACCGTATCTGTAGTTGTTTTGTTTTTAGTTTATAGCAGGCTTTTTGTCATTACCCATTGGCGTCTCCTGCGCCTGCTTCACAGCCGCAGCATCTGCCTGGTAATGCGATCTGAAAAGTAGATACTGTCTAGTAAGTTTGGAGCGGTATGAGGACAACACGAGTTTTAACTACGAAGTACAAATGCAGTAGCTACAAGACCGAATGTGTGACCGCAGGAGACACTTACTCTATGTCTGTAGTATAGCCCTCAATTATATCAAACTTTGACATTGAGCAGACTATTTTTTAGAAATCCTTAAATTTCAAAGCTTACGACTACGTTAATGGCCCCACGACCGCTACGTGCGGCGATATTGCAGCTGGGAGGGGGGGGGGGGGGGTATACGGCGCGCATCTTGGCGCTAGAAGTCGTGGTCTACAGATAATTTTCAGGGTACAAACAATGCAAAGAAAACAAAACGCAACGTTGTTGGTTTTTAGCTTGTGGTTGAGGGGGCAAATTCCGAAGTGAAATTAAATGTTATCGTCTCTCAAACTACTCTCTAGTCTTCCCTTCCTGCTTTCCTTCTTGTTCTCCTTGTGCTCGTTGGTGCCTCTCATCAGACGGATTACTCCCGGGTTCCGATTGACTTGATCTCAGTATACTTGGGTCTCCCTGACCAGCCATTGGTATATCCAGAGCCCGGCTGCCGCCGGCTCTCCCGTCGCCGTCGGATCCTCCGAGTCATCGGCGGATGTGTCCACACGTTCTCCTCGTCCATGTGCATCTATTGGCGGCGCTCCCGAAGACTCATGAACACTCCTACTCGCCGCTAATGCTGCACGACCGTCCCGACGATTCCGCTTGCGCAGATCAGGTACTTGAGCCTCTTCGTCCCCAACGCCTTGGTGAGCATGTCCGCGAGCTGGTCCTCCGTCGGCACGTAGTTGACGACGATGAGTCCTCGGGACACATTCTCGCGGATGAAGTGATGCTTAATGTCCACGTGCTTGGTCCTCGCGTTGTACCCAGCGTTGCTTGCGAGGGCGATCGCGCCCTGGTTGTCCTCCCATACTTGAGTAGCTCCCACTTGCTCGTGACCCATGTCCTTGAGCATGGCGCGGGTCCACAGCACCTCCTGCGTGCACAGGCTCAGCGCCATGTACTCGGCCTCCGCCGAGCTGAGCGCCACCGTGCGCTGGTACTTCGACTTGAAGACCACCGGCGCCCCGCTAATCATCACCATGATGCCCGACACCGAGCGTCGGTCGTCGAGATTGCTGTCGGTGTACGCCGTCACCTCGACCTTCTTCGCGTTCCCATTGTAGGCGATGCCGATGTCTCGGGTGCTCTTCAGGTACCTGAGCACGCGGATGGCAGCCTTCCAGTGCTGCTGCCCGGGGTTCTCGAGGAAGCGCGACAACTGGGTCACGATGTACGCCACATCAGGTCTGGTGCACGTTGTAATGTACAGCAAACAGCCAATGAGTGCTCGGTAGGGCTTCGCCTGCATTTCCTCACGTTCCTTCTGAATCATCGGCGACTGAGTCTTCGACAACTTCATGCCCGACTCGCACGGGTTCACCAGCACCTTGGCGTCCTGTTGGTTGAACCGCTTCACCACATCATCAATGTATCGAGTCTGCTTGATCATGAAAGTCTTCGCCGATGATGCATGGTCGATCTCCATACCGAGAATGAACTTGGCCTCGCCCAACTCCTTCATCTTAAACGCATTCTTGAGCGCCACCTTGACTTCCTGGATCTCGCTGCTCGTCTTGGCTGCGATGATCATATCGTCCACGAACAGGCAGACGTACACGAACCTGCCCTTCTCGCCCTTGACGTATACGCACTGGTCACCGCCGCAGCTCCGAAATCCGATGCCCACGAAGACTCGGTGGATGGTCTTATGCTAGGCATTTGCCGCTTGCTTCAGACCATAGATCGCCTTCTGCAGCCGACACATCATGTTCTTCGCGTTGATGATTCCGTAGGGTACCTCCATGTAGACGCGCTCCACCAGCCCGCTGTTGAGAAAGGCGGTGTCCGCATCCAGCTGCTCGGTGATGTACGCCTCGGCCACCACAACCGACAACACCACTCGGATTGAGTTCATGTTGGCCACGGGCGAGTACGTCTCGAAGAAGTCCACGCCATACTTCTGCTTAAACCCTTTCGCCACCAGGCGGGCCTTATACCGGATGACTCGGCCGTGCTCGTCGCGTTTCTTTGCGAACACCCAGCGACAACCGATCGGTCGAGCACTCGGTGTCCGACGGACCAGCGTCCATGATCCGTTGTCCGCGTGTGCCTTGAGCTCCGCATTCATTGCCTTCACCCACTCCAACGACTCGTCGCTCTGCATGGCCTGCTGATACGTGGTGGGTGCGTCATTGGCATCGCCGACGTCTGCGGCGTAGGCCAGCACCGCCTCAGCCAATAGGCTGTCTTCGTCCACCCTGGGTCGCTTTGGAGACGGTGGCCAGAAGTGATCATCGTTGTCCGAGTCATCGGGGCCATCTTCTTTCGACTCCTCACCGTCTGCGGAACCATCTCCACGTAGTAGTACCGGTTCTCGGGCGCGCCGGGTCCGTTCCGACTCGGGGTGGAAGACCATGTCATCATTCAATACCGGTCTCGCGAGTCGTCGGTACGTTGTCAGCTCCTGCATGGATGGCTCCGACGTCTCCACCTCATGCATCTCCGTGTCCTCGACGGTCTCTTCCACTGATTCCATCGGCTCGTCGGCGGCAGGTCGTTGTATCTCCTCGGGCAGTGCCGCATCCTCAGCATCTTCCGTCAACTCAATGATCGGCGAGTTCTCGCTGGGCGCCATGTCGTAGATGCCGTTCACCTCGCGCTCGTCCAGCTTCACCGACCTGGACACCTTCACCTTGTTCGACACCAAGTCGTACACTCGGTAGCCTTTTGAGTCGTCGGCGTACCCAAGAAACATACATTTGAAGCTTTTCGGCTCCAACTTGGTGCGTCGCGACTTGTCGACATGAGCGTAACCCATCGACCCGAAGACTCGAAGATGATCCAGCCGAGGCTTTGACTTGAACGTCAACTCGTACGGAGTCTTGGTCGGGTGCATGCTGTTCGTCGACCGGTTGATCAGTGCTGACCGCCTCTGCCCACCATATCGAAGCCACGCCCTTGTAGTGCAGCATGCTTCGAGCCTTCTCCATGATCGTGCGGTTCATCCGCTCCGCCACGCCGTTCTGCTGGGGGCTATACGGGACCGTCTTCTGATGCATAATCCCATTCACCCGGCAGATCTCAGTCATCGGCGTGTTCACGAACTCAGTGCCGTTGTCCGAGCGCAGGCATTTAATGCGCTGTCCCCACTGGTTCTCGTACAGCTTCATGAACGACTTGAACTTGGTCACGACCTCGCTCTTCTTGGTCAAGAAGTACACCACGACGTGTCGCGAGTAGTCGTCGACAAATGTGAGCACATACCTCGCTCCGCCCTTGGACTTCGTCTTCATAGGACCCATCACGTCCGTATAAACTAGTTCCAGCGGTCAAGTCGTCGCCGACGTCGACCGCGACGGGAAATGTGCGACCGTCTGCTTGCCCTTCATGCATCCTCCGCACAGGGTCTTCGTCTGCTGTTGAGTCGTCGGGAGCCCGTCCGTCGCCTCGCGGGTCTATGCCATAGCGTCTCCGTTCAAGTGTCCCATACGAGCGTGCCATAGCTCCCACTTCCCGTCGACTCCCGAGTACTCGGTGTAATACACCATGTCCTGCTGGCAGTCCAGCAAGTACGCCTTGCCGACCTTCTTCCCCGAAGCGATCGCCTTCGTCTTGTCCCAGATGACGCACGACTTCCGCTGGAACTCGACACTCATGCCGCGTTCAGCCAACCTCCCAACCGAGAGTAGTCGCCGGTCGAGTCCGGGGATGTGGAGCACCTCCACCATCTTGATGCGCTTGCCGTCGATGCCCGTTAGGCGCACCGACCCTTTCCTGCCACGCGGATCTTCTTCCCGTCCGCGATTGTCACATACATGTCCGCCGACGACTCGTTGTACTCGAACAAGTCATCGCGGTGAGGCGACATGTGAGCCGTCGCCCCACTATCGATCAGCCAACCGTACTTGTTCTCGATATGCTTCGTCTTTGAGTGCTTTTCGAGCTTAGCAGCCAGGTAAATGCTGCCTCGATTGTCACCGTAGAGTACAGGCCCTTCAACCTCCCAGTTCAACTCCAGGCACAGGCCCAACATCCACAGTAAGTCCTTTGTGCCCTCGTTCATCGCCACGTACTCCGCTTCGGTAGTACTTTGGGCATTGATTTCTTGTTTTCGAGACGCGTACGAAACCACATTGCCATCTAGCATAGTCACATATCTGCTGATACTCTTGCTGTCGTCAACATCGTTCGCGTAGTCAGCATCCGTAAAGCAGGTCACAGTAACCCTTGATCCGGCTCCAATTGTGTTGACTAGCCCGTAGTCGACGGTGTTGGCTAAGTACCGCAGCACTCGCTTCGCCATGAAGTAGTGCTCGTACGTGTAGTTGCTCAGATACTTGCCCAGGTTCCGCACCGCGTGGGCAATGCCCGGCCTTGACGCCGAAACCAGGTACTGGAGCGCTCCCACTAGCTCACGGTACGGGAGGTACGATTTATCAACAGGAGCTCGTAACTGCTGCGGTGTTGTTGCTTCTGGTGTCGCGCAGCCTTTGCACGACGCCATGTTGAACCGTACACTACTTCCTTACGTAGCGGGTCAATTTGGATCTCTACACCGAGTAGATACTTGACGGGGCCCAATTCTGTCAGCTCAAACTCCTTGGTAAGCTGCTGTGCGACGCTGCGGCACAGGGAGAATTTTCTTCATCCCCAAAACGTACTCAACGTCCCCTAAAATCCCCCAAAACGTTTTGGGGACTTTCAATAAAAACTGTTTGGTACTCCCCGAAATCTCAATTAAACGCCCCCCAAACTGTCCCCCCCAAAATAAATAAGTCTTAGTATTGGGGTAACTAAATATTAGGCTAATTTTTTGTGTAATATTCCAGAGGCGCGATAGCGCCCGACCAACGGAGGTGAGCGGTTGCGAGGAGCGTAGCCGCAGCAAACCCGCGCGGGGTGCCAGCGAAGCAGGGTCGCGCGGTATTTGCGGAGGCGGGCCCAGCGACGAGCATTCCAGCGAGCCGAACACTGCACTCGCCAGGTGAGAGAATCTTTTTATCGCGAGCGAAGCGAACAGCGGGGGCGTCGAAGGGGCGCCCAGCCAAGCGCAGCGCGGCTGGTTACGCTAAGCTAGATATATAATGGGTTTTAGTAAAAAGTTAGGTTCATGGTTCTTAAATATGAGGTTTGACGTTTGGGGATTTTTGGGGTTTTGGGGTGCGTTTTGGGGATGAAGAAATGGACGCCGCGGCACAGATCAGGTGGTCCAAGCAGTAGGACATCATCAACGTACTCCGTCAACAGCATAGAGATTTCACCACTTTCTCCCACTTTTCGTTCGTAAAGGCCGTAGTCAGAGTCAAGCCTAGAGAACCCGAGACGCTCTAGCGCTTTGTGCAGCGTCCGGTTCCATACATTAGGCGCTTGACGCAAGCCGTACAAACTCCGTAGGGGGCGACACACATATGCGTCTGGTTCACTCTGGAAACCTGGGGGTTGCTCCATGAATATCACTTCGTCCAGGTGTCCATAGAGGAAGGCCGTCTTCACGTCGCATTGCAAGATGACCCAGCCACGCTGAAGTGCAAAGCAGATGGCGGCACGGATCGTCTCGAACCTAATCACAGGCGCGTACGTCTCCGTGTACTCCAAGCCAGCCAGCTGCTGGCACGTGAAGCTGTGGATCATGAGACGTGCCTTATAGCGCTTGATCCGGCCACACTCGTCTCGTTTTACTGCATAAACCCAACGACAAGTGATTGCTTTGCGTCCACGCATCTCGCGGCGACACACCAGCCGCCAGGTGCCATGAGCCTTGAGCGATGCAAGTTCCTCAAGCATAGCTTCTCTCCACTTCTTCCACTGGCGCGATGCCCGTGCTTGCTTGTACGTGGTAGGCACCACAACTTCTTCATGCACATGCACACTATTCACCACGTAGTCACGTAGTCGAACCGACGGCTTTCGCTGCCGCTTTGGCAACGGCGGCCGTGGTTCACACTCAGCAGTCGTTGACCGGGTCGGCACCCAGTCCTCGTCACCACACGCTGCACGAAGTAATTCTTGTTGTTCATCTGACCGTTTCCGTTTGATGCCACCACGCTTATCACTAGACACCGGGGACGCTGGTGCCGGCTCTGCAGCAGGATCATTTCCAGTAGCAGTAGCAGTAGGCTCCTCAACGATCTCAATCTGAGAGGCACGATCGTCCTTGACGTACGTGTCCATGCTTGACTTGATACGCACCACTGGAACATCTCTCGACAACTGAAAATCCCCGTGAAAGAACGTGTTGAGCACCAACTGACCCACATAGTCAGACTCAATCGTAAACGTCTCTTGGTAGCGGACATTCTCGCCACGCGCTGTGACTACCGCTCCACTCACAACATCCAAGAATTTGTAGCCCTTCTTGGAACTGGTATACCCCAGTAAGATGCACGTCCGAGCACGAGTCGCCAACTTTTCTTTTCGCTGACGCGAGGAGCCATTGATATGTACGTGCGCCAGGCATCCCCACGTCCGCAGCGATCGTAGACTTGGTAGGCTTCCGTACAAAACCTCATGGCTGCTGCGGCCTTGCAGCGCACTCGTAGGGCAAACGTTGAGCGTATCAACCCGTCCCGCATCACAAACTTCAGCTTCATTGTCGGCTTCACCAGCCACGTCACCAGCTGATCATCCGACACAGTCAGCTTGTAGCCACACTCGAACTGCATGTAGGTCTACGAGATTAGGTTGACCTTGGTGCCCGGCGAGTAGCGCACATTCTCGAGTAAGCGGGTTTCAGTGCTCGCTCACAACTGGCATGATCACAGCACCTTCAATCTCAACACGCTCAAAACCACCAGTGGCTCCTTCCAACAGCTCCGCCTGCTTCAGATTCTTTACGTTGTTTAGTAGCGCCAGGACGCCAGTGACATTGACCTGAGCCCCCGAGTCCAAAATCCACTCAATTTCATTTGCAGGCACCGCGTCTTGCCGTCCACTTTTCGCTACCAACACACGCCGCGTGGGAAGAGACCAGTAGCTCCATGCAAACTTTCGTCATCATCATCTGGTGGGGACGTCGGAGAATATTCAACAGACTTCTCTTCACGCTGTGTGTCACGAGCCCGGACAAGGCGCTCCTCAAAGTCGCGGCCGACAAGCGCTGCCAGCTCATGGCGGGTGTAGATCTTTGAGTAGCTATTCACATCAGCCCGCTGGCGTTCAACTCTCAGGGTCGCGGGGTGGGTCTCCACAAAATCCACACGGGGGCGGTCCTGCTGCCGATCGCGCTGTGCATCCGCAGGGCGGTCATCTTTCTGCTCCTCTTCGACTCGGCGCAGTACAGCACCAGCCATGGTGCGAATCTCACTTGGATCAGTAGACTTCCGCTCAGGACACTCCTTCCACCAATGACCACGCTGATGGCATGCATCACATTCGCTGTTACGTTTCTTCTCAGCAATTTCATCTCGGCGCTTACGCGCAGCCTCATCATCTTGCCGCTTCTTCTTGCCACTGCCGCGTCCACCTCCGCCGTTATAGCGACGCTTGTAGCCGCTCTGCTGCTGTTGCTCACGACCTGACGAGCTGTTGCGCGTGACCAGGTTCGCCTGCCGTTGCACTCCTTGCCCTGCGTCGCGGTTCCCGCGGCTGAGCTGGTCGCGGGCTGTGCGCTCAGCTACAAGCAAAAGATTGACAGCGTCCTGCACGCGCTGGTCCTTGTCATACCCACCACGCAGGCGGGACACACGCTGCGTGTGGTCGTTGGCGATGGACGGGTATACCGCCACCGCGTTGGACAGCACAATGCTTGCCATCTCTCCCTCGGCCAGCGTGATCTCCATGCGC